TACGGAACTCACTCGTTCCGTTGTGCCTTATGGGCTCTCTTTCTCGAGCCCAACCAGCAGCCGCACAGCGGCGCATGATATAGGCAGAATGTTATTACCGACAAAGACAAGGGAGTCACCATGTCTTTGTCAAGTAGGACGTTATAGTTACTATGTAGAATTAGAAAAAAAAATCAGTCGATAACTTGAACAACCAACATTACAAATAACAATGGGCCAAATGGCCGGGCAATCGTCTCGCCGGCATCTAAAACGGATGACACATTCGCTGCAATTAACTATTGGGTTCGAGAGCGAATCCGAAACGTCAGGCCGAAACATTTTCTGTTCCGGTGATCTCAACTTCATCTTCTGAATAACGATCAAAGCTACGGCCCCTGACTAGCACCAAACTCCCGTCCGTGGCTCCCTGTGTTATGTTCTACCCGTAACGCTTAGATGGGGGCCCTGTTTACGACTATCCGAAATCGAATCCCCAAAAGAGAACTCACAATCAAGGGGTGAAGAACACGCGTCTATTGCTCGGCTCCTAACAACAAAATCTGGTGAAAAGGGTAGATATGAAAAAGGCAACGGCGACAAAGCATGCAGTATTTACTGACGTCATAAATTTCGACACCTCTCATTCAGCTGCGTACGGTCATTGCATAGTTATATGACAAGGCAAACTGTTCAATCAACGCAGTAAATACTGCATGCTTTGTCGCCTTTTCCTTATTCAAATTTATTCCGGGAAAACATTGCTTCAAGGGTAGGTACAAAAAGGCCATAGGCGGCCTGCCATTGAGCCAATCAGATCATGTCCTTGAGTTGTAGGCATGTGGACTGGTCTTCTGACTCATCTGAGTGGCTGGGCGCCTCTCCAATCCTGCCGGTGGATAGCGCGATCTCGACACGCGCACGCCGGCGGATCGATAGACTAGCAGGTGCGCGCATCTGTTAGGAAGGATCCTCCTGACATTCTGAAGCTATTATCTGTCCATCGGTCACACTCCGCTAACCGCCTCGACCAGCTGGTTAAAGCAGATGTCAGATGTTCTGTGTCTCCGCACCTGGTATTTTACCGTCTCCCCTTCCCACCTTACCACTTCCCCTGCTTCCCCACTTCGAAAGTCCTGAGGAAAGGCGACATGCAGTCTCGTAGTCGGCGCAGGATAACTCTGCTCGCTCTCCTCCGAGGCCTGTGCTAGATTTCGGCACCCGTCTGGAATGACTAAGCAGCCCTTTTTGGGGATAGCACTACTTAACTCCTTTAGGAGAATGGGCTAGAAAATATGCTCCAGCCAAAAAGTGAGTCCACTTCATCAACATGTATGTCATTGCTCTTGGATGCGAAATACGCAGTCGAGAACCATAATGAACAGCAACCCGCATCCAACCCGCAGGCTGCCAGGGTGAGCCTAGAATTGTCGCAAACTTTCAGCTAATCAGAGGAGCAGTAGACCCTAACAGAGGATGGCACTAGTCGTTCGTGAACTGGCACGCTTCAAGGTGGACATCGGTGCATTCAGCGAAACCCGCTTCTCGTAACACAATCAATTGGAGGAAGTGGGTGCCGGCTGCACCTTTTTCCTGAGAGGCCATTCGGAACGACATCGTGGACGAACGCCTTGTCTACCACAGCGCATCGGCGACAGCCTGTCGAGACAACGTCCACCTCTTCATGAAGGACAAATCGCCAACATCGTCAGCATCTACTTCGACATCCCCGATGACTAGCTCTGACGCGTCAAAGAACATAGTCTGCGTGAATCTGCGAGCCCTCCTGGTGATCGTACCGAAGGCGGACAGGCTGATTGTCCTTGACGGCTTTAATGCCCGCATCGGAACAGACTACGCTGCATGGACAGGAGTGCTGGGTCCCGCTGTCAGCAACGACAATGACCTTCTCTTTCTGCGCATTTGTGAAGAACATCACCTCCTCCAGACCAACAATTTCTTCCGCCCTCCGACGTGGGAGAAGGCAACCTGTATGCTCCCCCGAGCTCAACACTGGCACTTGCTGGACTCTGTCCCCGTCCGGAAGTGAGATCGGCAAGACGGGCTACTGATCAAGGTTATCTGAAAAGCCGACGGCTGGACCGATCAAGATGTGGCTCCGAATGCAGCCACGCAGGGGACCACTAGATTGGCTACTGTTTCGTTAAATTTGCCTGCTCACCATCTCCATTTCAGCAGTCAACTGGTCCACAGTGTGACCTGAAAGCGCTAGATGAAAATGTCTTTGAGGAAACTCGAGTGTGTCAGCAGAAGGTTACCGTCAACCCTACCGTCCTGGATGTTCACAGACCCGCACGCGGTCAACACTAGGACTGGTTTGGCGAAAGGACGCAACAATTAGCAGCTTATGCAAATTATTTCATGTTCCCCTTCAGATTTGTTGGATTAATCGACCAGGCCGCCTTGGTTACGACCCAGACGCAAGATTTGGGGGTTAGCTGGCAACATCCTTCAGCGTAGTGTTATGAAACTTGTCCTATCCCTCAATTAGATGGCATTTAGTTTTTGCAGTTAAGTACTATCTGCTTACATCAACTTTACCCACAATCTTGCATTATAGACCAAACCGGTATACTGACATACGAAGTGCAGGCATTGGCATTTCAGACTAGCGATGGTGTAGTGATTCTACCTTAGAGTGAAGACGAACCTTCTTTGGGAGTTAGCATTCATTATTCGTAAATGCGACCACTGGTTTCTAGTAAACAACAAGAATTGTTTTGTTCCTTTTTACTAAATACTTCGAGCACAAGATTTGCGCTTGACAATACGCTGTGAAATAAACGTTTCCAGAAGTTTAGAGAGCAAAATTTTAGTGCGGAGATTGTGCCAGCATTGAGAAATTCCGCGCACAAAAGTTCGTTGTCGTGGTTTCTTTTGAAAGATGTTGTTTCGGGGGTGAGCCGTCCTTGTGGGGAAATATGAAGTAAAACGCAAGCTGGCCGCTATTGAGTGAGCACGTCGCAGTTATATTAACAGTTCAAATTTATCTGCATTACTGCTTTCAGTTGGCAAACATTGAGAATGCCTCAGGTGTAAATGATCATCAATGTGAATAACAAACTCGAGGTAGACTTCTCACCGATTCCACTACCGGGTTGTATCCTCCAACTAGACGGAATGTTTAGGAATTTACGAAACTGTCACAGCTGCCGCCGTAGCGAGTGGCATGCGAGATGTTCTTAAGACCTACCTGGAGAATATCTACCAATCACCAGTCAACACCAGCAACCAATAGCTAACGTCGACGGCACTTAAGGGGGGGGGGTTTATAAAACGGAATGAATCACTACATGTGCAAGTTCACGCTCTGTACTCTGTCCGACAATGTCCTCTGATGAAGATCAGCACTTGAAACAGGGTAAGCGTAAGCAAAATTCTGCTTTTTTGATGCTACAAGCCAAATTAATGCATGGTGAACAGTTACGTTGCACTTTGGAGTTGGTGGAATTTCCTCAATATTAATCGGCTTTCCTAGTCTCCACGTTGTTTTACTGCAAATACCTATTTCGAACTGCGTTATCTGTTCTTATATAGGGTTTGGTCCAAAATGAAATCCGTTCAGCAGAGTACCGAATGACTCATTTGCTCGGAAAAGCAAAACTTATATCAGGCCTTATCCGATTTGAGTAGCAACAGGACTTTATGTAAGAACAGGCAAAACCTTTCGAGGAATAGGGATAAAACGAAACGCAGCAAAGTTCTGAGGAAAACCTCACGAATGGAAGAGAAAATGCGCATTCCAGGTTTTTGTTTAAAAGAAGACGAAAGCACTATCACTGGGACAGTAGATTTATTTGCCTGAGCTTTCGAACTCGAACTGGAGTTCATCATCAGAGACTACTTTGAGTGCAGCAAATTGTGAACCTTTATATCGCTCGTCCTTGCGGGGGGGAAGGGGGAGTGCGTCCGTGGCTAGGTAGGGTTTGTGCCGCCTGGTCCACGATGGTCCCCCGGCGTGGTGACGCCGTGCCAAAACTGTCCTTGCCACTACACAGGCCAAACAGGACGACGTCTCAGCTCACGAATACTTGAGCACAAACGGGCCGTTCGGAGAGGCGACCCACTATCTCAAGTAGCCACTCACACGCTGGAGGAAGGCCATGAGTTCGACTTCGCCAACACTCGGATATTGGCGCGAGCCGGCAACAAGACAGGGCGAGAGCTGTTGGAGGCGTGGGTGTCGGACATCAACTCCATCAACAGACACATCGATTTGCTCACACCGTCGCGAAGTACAAACGGCGTCACCACGCCGGGGGACCATCGTGGACCAGGCGGCACAAACCCTACCTAGCCACGGACGTACTCCCCCTCCCCCCGCAAGGACGAGCGATATAAATGTTCACAATTTGCTGCACTCAAAGTAGTCTCTGATGATGAACTCCAGTCCGAGTTCGAAAGCTCAGGCAAATAAATCTACTGTCCCAGTGACCGTGCCTTCGTCTTATTTTTGAGGACAACCTCTTGGAGGCGATTACATTCATGCCAAATTTGTTGACTCTTTAAGTGTTGCGTGGGTAAGATCCTACTTACTTGCCGCACCTGTGAGGGGTTAGGGTTTGAAATTGGGGTTAGGGTTGGGTGTTAGGGGCGAAATTTAAATCCACTATTATCACCGGTCCGTTTCGACAGAAGGTTGGGGCTTGTTAACTGCAGCTGCGGCTATGGAATAAGATCCGACCGTGTGCCAGTCTGGCCGTATTTTTCTCGTTAAGTGATCGGCGTAGAAGATCTAAAACGTCTCGAGCCCGTGGATACATGAACTTGGAGTGTATCAAGTAGAACGGAGAATAGGTTGGAATATGTACACTTGACAGAACTGTAAACAAGGTCCAAGAATAAAATTGCTGTGTTTATGTTCTTTATATTTGGAGCGAAATAGCGGATAATAAATACCTCGTGCTCTCTGAATGACCAGTTCATTGCAAAGAAACTATCTTGCATTAATTACATTTATAATCAGAGTATTTCCGCCGCAACATGCACGATTTCTGCAAATCATGATGACGGCCGAGGCATTCTAGAAACCTAAATACATTTCAATATCCAGGATGCGCATGGCTGCAATAGATGGCGTCAAGGAAAACATCCGTAACTTGGTAAAGTATTTTCCGTGCTCAATAACGAACGCATGTTACTCATCAGTCAGACCTGACACAACGACCTGATTACGCTGGGCATGCAGAAATAATGACATTCAGCATCGTCGAATTTGAGTTTCCATCATTCAATTTAAAGTTATTTATTTATCGCATGCTCATTTTACGTTTATCGCCTAAAAACTAGGAGCCTCGGTTCATTTGCAAACAATACTGGTAGTTAGTGTTTCGTGTAAATAAACTAGACAAGCTAAACACAGCCACGCATGGTAAAACACGGAAGCGTGTTTGTTGGTGTAGACATGGAAGACAGTGTTAGGAGTCTGATCTTCAGTATCTGTTATTACCCAACAAACTCGCGTGCAATCACTAACACAAATGATAGAATCGCGCAACACCGCTGCGTTTGTTTGCATTTTCTCAAGTGGTTAAATATTTACAGCTCCATTCGGGGACCCACACTTGCCATCGAAATTTATCAGTGAAGAAAGGGTATATTTTGGCATAAAAACTTTTTAAGTCCTTGATAATTTTCAACCTCTCATGCCACTACCATTGCGGATCCAGGAGTTCCAAATCACAAGCTGTAAACTTTAGGTGTGGGGAAATTTCTAGGCTTATAAATGTTACCAAGAAGCCATTATGTGGGCCTCCCAAAACTTTGTAATGCATACTTTATAAGCAGTAACCATAAATGAGGAGATAGGGCATCTTCATGGAAACTTCATGCTCCTTACAAATCCCATAATTAGAAACATTTTTAAAACTGAAAGGCACCCTTTTTTAGGCACACAACTAGGAAAAGCCGTAAGTTGCCAAAAAATGAGTGCAAGTAATAATGCTTTTGTGCATATCTTCTGTTAAGTTGATCCGAATTTATAAGGGTATCGAAAGTCAGTGCAAACGTGCATATTGCATAAGTAGTCAGAGTTTGCAGACAGTACTTCCAGCCGGGTGTCGATAGGATGTTCACTTGAAAGCCGACCTCCTGATGTGAGTGACATGCCTTGGAATTCTGCTACACCCCACTTAAGCAATCCGTTCTAACGAAAAATGCGCTTCAGAATTTCGGCCCGCATTGCTTGAGTTAGCTGGTTGATGCTTTCTGTCTCCAGAAGAATGAAATGCAGTTGTGATGCAAATTAGTCACATTTCCTTTGAGCAGTGGGAGGGCGACAAATCCTAGTGGAGCTACGACAGCGACACTTGAGCTAGTTAAAACCATCGCCCTCATTCACTAGCGGGTCTCGAGTGCGACATATACTCTCTTGCTTGGTGACTGATGTGAGATATACTAAACCTCATGCCGGCAGTGTGCATACAATTAGTCCCTGTAGCTGCGTCTCTAAATGGGAATACGCTAAGCTAGTCCAAAATTTGCACATAGAATTCTAGTGGAAGTAGAAGGCTGGTCGGAGAATCGAGTTGTACTCACGATTTTTTGAGCTGATCACATCAACGCGTCATCAAACTTAAGTGCTGGGAGACATCGTGGTTACCTCGACAGAACAAACGTCAATGGGGGTCCCAAGTCGTTGGCCGGTATTTCGGTGAACGCTTTCAGTTCAGTTCTGTTTAGTTTTATTGAGGGAAATGCAGGTCTTCACCTTTGAACTCCCAATTTTTTACAAGCAACTGCAAAATCTCAAAAACTGAAAAAGGTATCACAGAGGTAACAAATCATAGGAAAAGCGTCAACTCTGTACAGATAAAAAACTGTCTCGAATGTTAATGGTATGGGCAGTAGTACAGCGGTCGTTTCAAGAGCATGAGGAATACATAATATACCTGGGTACAAAAGGTGCATAGGTACATGGCAGTAAGCGTAGGCGATGGGTTATAGGCAATAAGAAATTCAATTTAAGATATTACTGAAATATAGAAAGTAGTAGTATAACGGTGGAATTTGTCAGGGTTACAGAGGTCGGGTATTAATTTAGTGGAAACTGCTATACAAATCCAGCTCCCTCTTAAAGACCTCGACCTTATGACTGTCTGGTAGTAGTATTCAGGAACTAAGATTTGTAAGCGAGCAGATGTTAAGAAAGCAGGAGGTGTCTGTCGTCTGCAGACATATTTACGTCCATTTTCCATGTGCATCCCCGACATGCGCTTATGAAGATCAAAACCTTTTGTCAAAAGTGCTACTTCATTTGGTCAGTCGGGTAGATAGTGTAAATACTCGAAACTACGCCGATGGGATCGCCGCTAGTGACGTCAAAGTAAAAAGGATATACAGGGTCACATTAGATGTGTAAGCCAGGATCTGCTGCCTCCACAAAAATGAAAAATCCCTCGAATATTAGCCGCACAAAACAGTTTGCCATTTCATGAAAAACCCCATTACTCGGACTCCTAAAAGCTCTCTCTGTCGTCCTTCACAAATTTTTCATTCCAGATGCTCCTGAACCCTCCCTAACCCTGACCCTTTAACTCTAACCCTTAACCGCTGCTCTTAATCCTAACCATAAAACATTCAACGCAAAAGTAGGAAGGAGACGACATGTAAAAAGTCAAGAAGGACCATCGCAATGGGTCAAAAAAGGTTAACACGACAACAAAGAAACAAGGCCGTCAGCAGAATACACACCTTAACAAACAGCAACACCATGCTCAGGTAATTACACCAACTCAAAATAATTAAGTAGGTCAGCAGTATTGTGTCCATCAAGTGCGGCTACATAACCACACCATACCAATTTTTCCTTCCAGGAGATCCTGAACCAGCAACTATTCCGGAAAAGTTTACCCTGTATGAGGCGGAATGCTGTCCATACTGCCAACGCGTTCGGTACACCCTGGATTACCATCAGATACCGTAAGAAAGCCTTCTGTGTTCTCCTGTTCAAACTATTCGTGCGTGTACACTTTTAACTAGAACCTGTCAGTTACACCATGCATGCTTTTAATGCAATATTTTCAGCGGAGCGCCTGGGCACCTCGTTGGCGCCAATTTAGATGTTCAACAATTGAAGGCATGACCTGTAGCATTTTAAGATCAAATTACTGTCTTCGAACCATGCTGAGCGTGGGATATTTAGCTGATATTTTGAGTACGCCATAGTCGCAACGTGGACGACAGTACAAATTGCAGATAAAAGCTAACGGACGAGTTCCAGGTAACAGTTCAGAAGACGAAGCTGTAATAAATGGAACAAGAAATTGACTGGCCTGAATTTTCGGATTCTCACTCGAATCCATCATCAGAGACAATAGCAGATAAAGGTAATGGTGGGACACAGGGAGGCAGTATTAATAGCACGTGGCTGCTGTGGGTCTCACAAAAGTTTGCGTTCCTCTCCGGCCTATCGTATCACTAAAGGGCACTCCAACCGACGAACTGGCAAAGTGGCTGTTTGGACGTATCAAGTTTCTGACCTCCGAATCGAGCACCACATTCAACTCGTAAACACAATTCTTGGAGAAACTTAAAGGGTTAAGTCTCCTGCCATGCGACGTGACGGTTTCATTTGATGTGACGTCTCTTTTTACTTCTATACCGTATGACCTGGCAGTCGAGACCATCGAACTACTCCTACGACAAAAATACGAAGAAACGGCTTTTGAAGTTCTGTCTCATGACGTACTTTACGTTCGACAGAACAATCTATGTGCAGGTGAAGGGAAGGCCAATGCGCTCGCTGATTTCGGGATTCATGAAGGAGGCGGTCCTAAAACGACTGGAGTCACTGGTTGTCCGACACCACAGACCGAAATTCTGGGCTCGGTATGTGGATGACAACTTCGTCGTCATCGAACGGGATCAGGTGCTGACATTCAACGAACATCTCAACGCCGTCTTCCCGGACATCAAATTTACGATGGAGGAGGATGACAACAACCAGCTGGGCTTCCTGGATGTCCTCGTCTGCCGCAAGGACTGTGGTGGCCTAAAAATCAAAGTGTTCAGGAAAGCGACGAATACGACACAAATACTGAACTTCAACATCAACCACCCGACCAGTCACAAATGCAGTTGCATAAGGGCGCTATACAGGCGCGTTGAGACGCACTGCAGTGAAATGGAAGACAAGGTTGCTGAATTACAATATCTTCGACGAGTAATGAGAGCCAATGTCTACCCGCGCAACTTTTTCAACCAGTGCATATGAAAACGACACCAGAGACCAAATCCACCCGGCCCCAAATTTTGGCGGGCTCTTCCGTACATGAAGAACGTCTCGGAGGCCGTCAGTCGTCTTCTCACTGCACTTGGAGTTGGGGTTACACACAGGCCGGAAGCAACCATTAAGCGCCAAATCATGAGGCCGAAAGACTCACTGTCACGGCAGGAAACGTCTGGAATCGTTTACCGGATCTAGTGTAGTTGCGGACAAAGCAACTATGTCGGAGAAACTGGGAGATTACTCCGTACGCGAATTGTCGGACACGCAGCAGCAATGAGGCGGTGGCGGCACATTCGACGGGACCCGGCCATATTTCCAAATTTAAAGACGTCGAAATCCTCGCAAGGGATGACAACCGCGTGATCGGCGAGCTGCTCGAGCCTTACTTCTCAGGCCCGCAATCCACCAAAAGCGCAATGACCTCCTGGTACCGTATTCCGTTCTGAGATTTTCCCTGGGCAGTGAAATCAGTCACGTGGGGAGTGCGCGGACGAGCAATTGTCGCAGTGACAGTTAGCCAATTTGCTGACCAATCATCACACCAGCATCCAACACGAATGACGAAATCACGGTCATTAACGACTCGGACGCGGACTGTCAAGCCACCATCGCATCAACTACGACCCCAGCGGTGATTAAGAAAGCTGTTAATTACAGTGCGCATATGGTCCCACGGCAGCCTCGTGACTTAAATACTGCACTCCTTGTGCCGCCATTACCTCAAAATCCGAAGCGTCAGGCCAACAAATTGCAAAATTGCAACAAATTGTGAATTGCAAAATTTTCAACTGTTCTTCTTTATCATCAAGCCAGAGTGCGGACGGTAGCGCAAATGTTTGTCGCCATTGCGAACTGAAGAGCTAAAATGGCCGTTAGATACACAAATGCGAGTCGTTTGTCGGTGGAGACGCAACGCCACGGTAGTTGAATCACTAATGCGCCAACGAACGCCCCCTTGGCCTCAGTCGACGTCATCCTACAAAGTGCCATTTAAACAGATGTATCGGAGTTTATAGAACTCAGACGGTCAGTGAACCGTGCAACAAAGAGCTTACTATGGTGGGAGAGCGCTCAACGATCGCGCGCTACGGAACACACTCGTCTAGTTGGGGCTCCCTGGGGGCTCCTATCGAGCCCAACAGCGGCCGCACAGCGGCTCGTGACATAGGCAGAGTGTTATTACTGACAAAGACGAGAAAGACTGAAATAGCCATTTCAGGCTTATTAGCCGTCGTCAGCCAGTCGTGCCCGACGGCGAAGTGCGGAACACCTGCGGCTCGATCCCGCAACATCTTAAAAGTCCAACGCCTCTAACCACTAAGCCATGGGCCCGTTGTGATCGGGTATGTACAATGGTAGGGGGACTCACCAGTCGCGCGCAGCGGAACTCACTCGTCTAGTTGCGCCTTGAGGCTCCCCCTCCAACCCCGCCTGCAGCCGCACAGCGGCGCCTGAAATAGGCAAAATGTCGGTAGCGCTATTCTGCCCAAAAAGGCTTACTGTCATATATGCCTTCACGTCGCAATGTGCGTGCCAGCTTGTTTACAGGTGCCTAATCTGGGTTTATAAAGCCAACTTTTTCTTTTATCACTAAGGCTGGTGGACTGGTCCATATTTGTAACCGAAGCCTTAGCAAGATAATCTACTCCTCATAACACTATTTTGCCATCGGGTCTTGCCATCGGTTGCGAAGGGCCCTCGAAACAGGCTAACAAAGTGTACTGCGAACTTATCATGCGACTTTCGTCTACGTGAGAGTTCGGACGTCGTGCCCGTCAAAGTCCACCGTGTGCTTCACAGCAGGGTGAGAGAAGTACGGTGACGTGCGCGTGGGTTAATTTGTAGTAAGACTAAACTTGCGCAGCATCTATCGTTCTCTCCCATCGCCCCAACTGGGCCCGGTGTCAGGGAAACAAGAGGCGGGAGAGGGCGCAGCCGACTGGCATGGCCGGACTCGTACCTAGGCCTACCAGACCCTCGAGTCCACAGCAAGCACTTGTCTTCTACGTACTTGTTACTTATCCCAGTGGATGGTCTGTCCCAAAAAATGTTAACCAAGGCTCTCAAATTAGCTTTCCGTTACGAAGGACTACTCAGATAGAGGTAGAATGTTGATTATCATGCAGCGTAATGCAGAGATGTGCGTTTTAGTCACATAGAGATGTCGGTCTTAAAATAGGCTCTTCTTTCTGGCGTCTGCGACATAAACCCTCGACCAAATTTGACTGCTTTTAAAACAGGAGTATTTTTAAATGAAAATATACTTAGGAGAAGTCAGTACAAATATATAACCTCTTCGATTCATTTCGTTACAGATCACGTCGTCAATTTTTATAGCCAAGGAAAATGTATCTTTACGTTGAAAAACTTTTAAAATAGACGCAAAATTCTGAACCCCATCTGCAGATAAGCCGAAGCTTAGAACTCCCAGACTACTTGCTCTACGGTTTCCATAGGTTCTACGGTAAAAATCGCCTAAACTTTGCAAAAACAGCCAACAAACCTTCGACAAGATAGAGGAATGAGTGGATTTTCTCAATAACAGAGGGAGTGAAAAGCATAATCTATTGTTGTACACCATTGCCCATACATGTTTTACTATTGTAAATACTTCGACCTCTTTCAGATGCTTTGTGCCTACCCGTTTCGCGAATGATTATTACTTCTACACTCAACACCGTGAAACGTCACTGTCAATTGTTCTACTCAGGCTCTAAGTCCTTACCAGTGATATTGTTTCCTCTTAGGTATGACCGCATTTTAATAAACCTCAGCGCCAAGCCCGGCTGGTATTTACGACTTTATCCGGCGGGCAAGGTCCCCCTGCTGCTCTATCGAACTGAACAAGTGACTGACTCGGATCTAATCATGAAGTACGTCGACCAGTTCAAGGGCGACGAGAGCTCTCTGCTGAGTGTATGCGGCGAAGAGGGCTTTAAGATGGCATTGGATTTGTCATCCGCCGTAAGTCTGTTGAACTTCATACTCCGGTTCAAAATTATCCGCTAACCCAGCCATTTCCAGTCTCCCACTGCCTCTGTTGAAGTGTCCGTTCCTTTGCTACGTCGTCACTAGAAACATCATCAAAAGCAAAAACCATAAGAGCGTTGTCTCTATCAACAAAGATAATAACCGTCGTTGCCGCCGATGTCCACCATGTCGTCCATAGCAGGGTAGGACTTGCGCGTGATTTAGTTTAAAGTAATAGTAGACTTGCGCAGCAACAACTGCGCTCGCTCCCACCCCCACCGTGACTCGGTGTCAAGAAGACTAGAGGCGGCAGGAGGCACCTAGGCGTACAGCCAAACCCACTGGTCCACAACACATACCAACCAGGATTTGATGCCACATCAAAATTAGGTAGGCGGCCGTCATTCCAAATGGCGCGGCGTGCACCTGCAACTAGACGTGCCAACACACACCCAGTGTTGGCATTAGTTATGGGTACGCATTCCCAATAACGCCTACCGGGGCCCCTTTCTGGCCACTGTGTTGACCCAACGCATTAACCGAGTGACCCGCTTTAAGGCCAGATCGAGAAGAATGCCCGAATACCCAGAAACTTTATGGGGAGGGATCCCGTATATGCGCGGAGTAGGAAAAAAACTATGGAGAGTTGTTCGCGTTATTTTTAAAAGTGGACGTTGCTCTGTAGAGTCGGTGCTGCTGAAATGTCTGCATTGCCTCATTTTTCTGCACCGCGCATACGCGGTTCTTTAGCAAGAGGAAAGCGCACTTTTTAAAAAAAGAAATCAGCACGGAGAGCAGTCAGATGGTAAAAAATACTCGAAATATATCTGGATTGAATGTATACGCCTGCCAGTAAAGCACGAATGTCAATTCGCTGGAGTATTTGTCAAATAACGGTTAACGCATTCTTACCCTGCGCATTTTCTTAGTCCTTTCTAGTTAGTTAAACTTCGGTATGTAGATTGCAGTTATCACATAGTGACTGACTCGAAACTCATCATGAAGTACTTCGACCATTTCAAGGGCGACGAGAGCTCTCTGCTGAGTGTATGTGGCAAAGAGGGCTTTAAGACTGCCGCGGAATTGTCATCTTCCGTAAGTCTGTTGACTTTCAAACTGCTCAGTAACCCAGGAAGTGGGTTCAAAATCATTCACCAGCCCGGTCATTTCTGGTCCCCCACTGTCTTCGTTGAAGTGCCCGCTCCTTTACTATTCCATCACTAGCAGCATCAACAATAATGAGAGCGTTGTCAATATCAACAGGGCAGTATTGATACGACAGTTTGACAGTCGTTGCCGACGATGTCCCCCATAGCACAGGGAGGAAGACCTGCACGTGGGTTAGGTTAAGGTGATACATGACTTGCGTTGCATTTACTGAGCTCTCTTCCATGCTCACAAGGGCTTAGTGTCAAGAGCACCGGAGTTGGAGGGAGGAGGAGGAACTGGCGACCGACAGAGTGAAAATCGCACCTGGGTGTACAACCACTCCCACTAGTACAAAATCCTCACTGACCAGGGATTAATAACACAACAAATTAGGTGGGCAACCCTCATCCCTCTTGACGCGACATGCGCCTGCAAGTAGGCCTGCCGCCACATCCCGACTGTTGAAAGTTGCTACGAGCGCGCATTCCCATTAACATGTTGGTCCTGCGTTTCTACCGTGTGACCCGCTTTAGGGGCACTAGTACTGGTAATAATATCCAGCAAACATATGCATAAACAATGCTCGAATACCTGATAAGTTTGTCGGCAAGGGTTAAGTATAAGCGCGGGGTAGGAAAAAAATTGTGGAGAACTGCCAACAATATTTTATAGAGTGGGTGTTGTTCGGTAGAGTTTTTGGTCGGCCCTTTGACGGCAGGAGGACGTTCGCTGACACGTACCTCCCCAAAAAGCCGTTTCTGGTTCACTGGTTCATTGTTCTGTACCCTCGCTGGTACTTCATTAGTAAGGGAAACCCAGTAGAAAACATTCCGCCATGGAGAGCAGTCAGGTAGTAAAAAATTCGAAATATCGTTAGATGGAATGTATGCGTCAGCCAGTAAGGCAGGAGTGTTAAACCGCTGGAGAATTTGTTAAACGACAGTAAGCATTTTCTTACCCCGTGCATATGCTTAGTCCTTGTCAGTTAAACTTTGATACGCAAATTGCAGTTTTCACAGAGTTTCCTTTTTACGACACCACGCATGGCGGTGGATTCGACGTCGCCTGTATGTCTGCTTACTTCCGAACAGTTCGTCCGCGCATTTGGTAGCACAAAAATTGATACTGTTACTTGATAGACTAGGCACAGAATCACTTAACAGCACTTTATTTTCCGGTCTAGGGTTTTATCCACGCAAACTTTGTGACATAACCACCACCACCACCACCACCACCACCACCACCACCACCACCACCACCACCATACCACCGCCACCACCAGCATCATCAATATAACCACCATGATCAACGCTTGACACAACTGACACCAAAATCACCGCCAACACAATCACAACTACCGCAATCAGCACAACCATCATCATCATCATCGACATTATCAGCAGAAGGAGGCGCGTTGTGTACTTACTCACTGCTATTGTTTGTCTGTCCGACTTCCTTTTCAATCCTTTTTAAGAACTTTTGGAGTTCAACACACCTAGTTGAGACCATTTACGCTAGCATCCGACGCTGAATGGCTTTTACCGAAGCGTACTTACAGACTGCAAACAAAAGCTCCAAAGCTTAACTGGAAAGAGAACCTGTCTGTACTGATTATTGTCAATAAATTAGGTTCACTCCTATTGTGAGTTGCAATGCCCGCAGCGCCTTCTCCAAGTGAATGAATCGGGCACCCACTAAGTGCTTGCAAAAATCGGACTAACGGGCTTAAACGCCAAAAGTTTGTCGATGTAGGATGGCTAACAACTTGAGAACTCCAAATATAGAAGTCAGCGAACACAGCTTTATGGATAAGCCTTTACTGAAGCAGAGCGCGTACAGACAGTTCCGTAAGCAGTAGCAGTTAGAGTTCTGACTGGACAGCTGTCCTCCCCAGGCTTTTGCGTGTTTTGCCAGGAGGTGAAGTGTCTACAGCTTCGACCGATCGATGAGGACAGAGGTATCGATCGGTTTCACGGCGTCGCAAGCCAGATTTTGAGTCACAGGGGTACACGGACCTAGGACGCAATGGGAAATCTGCGATGCCGGCGACCTTGACAGCGGGTAGCCACAAGTTACCTCTACAGCTGATTTTCGACCTTCATGTCAATCTGTCGTCATGGTCATAAAAAGCCCGACACCTTTTCGTTTTTCGTACGCCATTTAGATTGCGCTTCCACGCTACAAGATATGTTTCACAACGGACGCAACCAAGGACGACGTTGATGCACTCAAGGACGCCCTATCAAATCTCGACAAGGCTATTAAGGGACCCTACCTTATGGGTACGTCAGTTTATCATCGTTAGGTCTTTGCCTTTTTTCCAGCATTGCCTTGCAGTGGTAGTGCCCTCGAAACCTTAACTAGTTAAAGTCTTCACCCCGCCAACCTTATGCGATGTCTACGAAATTCTTTTTCGATCTTCCCCTTTTTTCCCGCCTGAGATGACGTTTGCGGAGATAAATTCATCTCACTTGTCAGGACAAATGGGCACCCCTTTTTCGATCTTGCCCGTCTTCTCCAGCTGTCTTGTATGCCTTCTGAAAACTAACCGCTTCTTTCTTGTCAAGAAGGAACACCAACGATCTTTAGGATCCTGTAAATTAATCATGACAATTTTTCTTGAAAAAGTGAAAGCCGACCGCCAGGAATACCTTTTTATCTTTCAAAGGTGAAAACATGAGTCTGGGCGACCCTGCACTCTTCCCTTTCCTCAATGCCTGGGACTTCGTGATGGGCCGACTGATGAAGTTGGACGACGCGTCCGGCGATAGCATAGAGGCGGTCGCCTCTCACTGGCCTAACGTGCTGCAATACCGTAAACTTATGAACCAACAGCCCTTCATCACAATGAACGCCTTCCAGGACGAGGATTTTGCAAAATTCGTGGATGAACACATTGCTGCGAATTCCTAATATTTCATGTATCCCTGTCGCCCTTGGGAAGACTTATTACCGTTCACCGGCTCTTTGCCATTTCCGTCATTTATGCTTCCTAACTGCAGTGGTGATTGCTCCAAATTCTGTCGTACGAAATCTGGCACTCATTTTCCAGTTCGCTTAGATTAAAATTGTCTGGGATGTACAAAAGGAGTTCTCTTTCGACCGCACTGTTTATGACAGTTCACTTTGTTTACTGAAATGAGGCTTTTTGCGCTCGTGACAAACAAAGGTGGAAAAAGTAGAACCTGCGCTGGAACGGGGTGTGAGGTCAGGCTGTATTAACTGCCTAGAGTTAGTTTCGAGGACGTCGGCCCCTGCAGTTTACCTCCTTACTTTCAAAAATATGCAGCGAAACCTTTTGATGAGACCGACTAACTGACACTATTTACACCCAGCCTCACAAGCGAGATCAGTTTGTCGATTGTAAACATCGGATATACACGCCTTGTGCGACGGTTGTCGACTTGGTACTTCCACGACAGTGAACTACCATTGAGACCTCACCTATGCATATCACGATGCAGACGTTATTCGTGGACAACGACAGAGAAAAATGGCTTTAACCATGCTACTTGATGGCGGCATGGCAGTTCGACCATCTTGCCCGCCTTTGCCACGCTGCGGGAGAATGACGCAGGTCACTGGGCTACCATGCGCACGACCTGTAAACCTGTGGTAGTTCGCGTCTCCTTGCCCTCCGCCTTTGCCACGCTGCCTTCCTGTCCGCCTCACGCTTCTTGTCGATACGCTATTGGGAAGCGCTAGGCTTGTCTCTAGCCTCGCGCGTGCTCCAGCCCAATAAACGCTGTCCCCTCTCTGATTGGCTGGCTAACGCGGAGACAACGAAAGGCGCACACACGCGCTGGGTCTCACCACCTCAAAGGCGGACTCAGACAACAACCGGCCTGGAGAGCGCGCTCGCGGCGACTCCCGCAGAGCCTGTGTGTACGCACTTCCAAAACAGTAAAGGTTGTCCGACTGAAACCGTCTTCCCTGACTCCACTTTCGACAAACATAACAAGATGAAACTTGCGTCGTTTCTTGAGCGACAGCAATTTTCTCTGTTAAATTGCTAGCCAATCGATTGGATTATTGTTAGAATGGCACTTGAAGGTGTGCGAAGCCATGAATGGGCCAGAGAGAAGTCGAGCTGGCAAACACTGGTTTTTGGTGATTCTTCCGCAGGCCAATGCAATTACGCAGAAAATGAAAACATGAGACTTTTACCCAGTTAAAAAGTGTCTCAGGATTTATTAACACTCATCGTTCCCACGCCACTCTCATGACATAGTCGGCATGTAATGGTCATGTGAGCAAGGGGGTGACATGGGCTGCGAGTGATGTTTGTAAATCGAGTACTTGGAGTACGCATCACTGTCATCAGCGGGTTGCTGCGACCTGTGAACACCATCTGGGGTCGACATTGACCACGGAAGACAGAGCTCCTGTACGAACGTCTTCCAACAACACAGCACTGGATTCGCTAGTCTTATGGCCACCACCTCGGCCTATTGGTGCAGGCCTATAGCCATATTTGCCGGCTGACAGTGAGATACCCAGGAGTCCCGTTACGAAACAAACCCTTGTGCATCGGTCACGTGGCGAACCCAGGGGCTAGATTCAATGGTCTACTTATGAGACCGACCAGGCACCTCCGGTACCTTTCAGACGACAGCACAGTACGAAGGTGAAAACAAGAACTCTGTAGGGCGACGGATCACGTGATTCCCCCCGCACTGCCATGGTCGGGATCACTGACGGAGTTCCCCGATTCCCTCTCTCGCTTCACCTCCACCTCCCGCGCGCTCTTCGGTCATGATCACGCTTCACGAGTTTTCGCTGTAACCGTAACTTACTCACTTAGACCACTTCCATCACCATTCACCGTGGCCACTCGCATATTTCCTCATTTGCCTATCATGATTCCAATCGAACAGCTGACATTTTGAAAAGCTAAGACATCGCGAAATTTTATATAGATATACAAATACGAATAAAGTTAGCGTTTTTTTCTGAATCCTAACTCGTTTCCTAAATACAAATTTTATGTCGTATATCCTATGAGGGCTTGGTTCTCGTGGCAGCAAAGGATTCATGACACTAGGATTCGCATGGTTTTGTGACGACAGCATCTCGCTCGGTGGCGTTTAAACGACCATTGTCTGTAATCGGTCGCGGTTACAAAGAACGTTGGGACGCAGGTCGAGAGTAGAGAGACACCGTAATAAAGACCTCCTCAAGAGTTTTCCATATTTGACGCAACTGCCGAGTTCGGACAACGCAAACACCACCAGCAGTCAAACGGTGTGCTAATAAGTTTGTGCGGGTTGTTCGACAAGGCAGCTATTGAAGATGATGCCGCATACACCCACCGAAGTTTATTTCCTGTCTGCGTATCGAGCAGTGAGCTAGGCTGTCTATCATGGGATACTGGAGAGTCTCTTAGTACACTTTGTCTGATGGCCATATACAGTTAAATAAGGCAGCGTGAAGTTCTACGGCGTTATAGGACTATAACTGAAGTTAGAAACTATTGCTGAATTCCTATTTGTTCTCCAACTACAAATTCTATTTCCTAAACCGGATTAGGGTTACTGATCAGGGCGAAAATGGATTCATGGTTTGATATATGATGATAACATCTTCCACTGTGCTGTTGAGGCGATTTTTGTCTTCAAACAGCTGAAATTACTACTAGACCTCGTTGGATCAGGTAATCACACCGTGTTGAAAGAACGGACCAACAGTTGCATGTGACCTAACCGCCGAAACCTTTCTTCATCCCCGGTTTGACCGCGTTCTGTCGCCTATGCACAGTACCCTCAGTATGAACGAAGCGAGATCGGACATTGTTCCACTGAATTACCCCTAGAACAGAGCTGACTGACAGTCCGTGCCAATGATGGAAAGGATGAATATGAGATATTACCAAGTAACACGATGAACTTCAATGCAAAGATTACTTGGAATGGTCTAGTGACAATTTTGTTTAGCATGTAGTGGCGAAAACCCCGCGGTGTGACGCGATTTTGGCTAGGGAAGAATGGGAAAACCAATCAACTCACATAACACCGTGGAATTATCAATCGACGTTCGTGGTGCGTTCGGGCGATGGGAGAGTTTTGAGATGACTTCCTTCCTTCCTGCCTTCCGTCCGCCAGTGACTACGGACACTGTGCACGAAGTTAACCTAATTGCCATCGTGGGCGCGTTAACGTGGTGCGAACCCTGCAATCTCGCATATAATCTGGCTGTTTAGCAGTGAGTGGGTAATCCGGGAAACGAAGATAACAGTATCCCAACAGTTACAAACTAATAAATAAGAACAATGTCATCAGCAGGTAAAAAATACGCGTGCTTGTGGTATGCGTTATTCAGAGTTCTGTCAAGTTTCTTAAAATGCGTGTTATAACTGAGTAGAACAAGACGGGCTTAAATGCCACTGCAAGACTCCCCCTCGTAGGAGAACAGAGTTAATATAAAGAAAAGGGCGGAGTGCTATGCATATTGTACAAGTTGATAACGGTCGGAAAAAGACACCTGACGACCGTCGCGCGTAAGGGGAGGAATCTGTGGGATAAGGGACAAGGCAGGGTTATTGGGCGCAAGTGGAGTCTGAGAAATAGAAAATGGCAATGTGCCGAGTGGAGGTTGGGGAAGTTGAATGAGTGGCCTAGTAGATGAAACGCCCTAAAAGCGTCTATTGCTACCTCGGGAACATTCCGGCCATCAAAACGTGAATTTCCAGGAAACCCACAGAATGTGGCGGGTCTGGAGTTTCTGACGAACTTCGTGTCCAATGGCTGAACGAAAACTTCTCCCTCTGGAGGTCAAGTAACTTTTTCGATTCAACCGCCCATTAAACGGTGCGGACTGCGATATTCGCAGTCCCCATTCTGAGTAACACTTACGACGTAAGCTTTAAGTTGCCAATAGAAGCGTAGAGACGAGTCCCAGGAAGTAGTCTTGAAGAAGGAGACACGATCGCTGGGACAAGAGCTTTACTAGCCTGACGTTTCGGATTGCTGCTCGAATTCATCATCGGAGACAACAGCAGATACGGGTAATTCATGAACAAGGGGTTGCAGTATTTATGGGACGCAGTCACCATGCTACCTCATACCCACGAAAATTCACGTCTGCCCCCTTTCATCCGGGATCGCCGCACTTGGTGCGCTAATTGTTTGATGGCCAACATTCCCGTCGTTAATTGCTCAATTTCATCACGTGCGTTGGATGTTGGTGTGATGATTGTGTAAGAGACAAACCCACTAGTTGGGCACAGCGAGTAGGCTATCCAGGAAACGAAAATAGCAGTATCCCAACAGTTACAAACTAGTAAATAAGAACAAAGTCGTCAGCAGGTAAAAGTGCACGTGCGTGTTCTTTGTCTTATTCAAAGTTGTGTCAAAGCGCATTGTAACTGATTAAAACAAAACAGATTTAAATGTTACTACAATACTCCCCCTCCTAGGAGAACGGAGTTCAAAAAAAATTGGTAATAGAAGGAAAATGTGGGAGTGTTATGCATATTGTACAAGTTGGTAACGGTCGGGAAAACGGGCATGACGACCGCTGCGCGTAAGGGGAGGAGTCTGTGGGATAAGGAAAGACGCGGGGTTGTTGGGCGTAAGTGGAGTCCGGGAAATAGCAAGTGGCAATGTGCCGAGTGGAGGTTGTTCGGTTGGGGAAGTTGAATGAGTCTCGGTATTAGCCGCCTTCAAGCGATCTACTGAGACCACGTCGGTGCGACCTCCACGGTCAATTGGAAAACGCTTGTCCGTGCAAGATTTTACTCGAAATGGGCCGTCATAGTGCTGTTGTAGTGGCCGACGAACGCTATCTACACGGACAAATACAAATGGACATGTTAGTAGGTTCAGGTCGATGTACGACTTACTTGTTGGAGGACGTGGATGAGTGGCTCGAAGATGAGTCATGGCATGGCGCAATCTTTGCACATAATCGCTGGG